ATTTTCATTTCGAGCTCTTACCGAATTAGAATGGTTGTAGATGATATTCTAGATCGTACCTTTGAAACATTCTGACTGAGGCGACCTTGATCTTTTCCACAGCTGGCAGCTAATAACACTTCAATCTCTAACAGAATAAGAATTGTTGAAAATGATAGTACAGGTCGTACTTTTGAAAAATTCGGACTTGGGCGACCTCGAATCTTTTTTTACCTATAGAAACTGATAACATTTCAACCTTTTACCGAATTAGAATGGTTGTAGATGATATTATAGGTCGTACCTTCGAAACATTCTGACTTTTCCGACCTTGATCCTTTCTAGAACTGGCACCTAATTACATTACAATCTCTTACCGAATCAAAATGGTTGAGAATGATAGTACAGGTCGTTCTTTTGAAAAATTCTGACATGGCCGACCTCTAACCTTTTTCTATCTTGAAACTGATAACATTTCAACCTTTAACCGAATTAGAATGGTTGTAGATGATAGTATAGGTCGTATCTTTGAAACATTCTGACTTTTGTGGCCTTGATCCTTTCTGGAGCTGGCACCTAATAACACTTCAATCTCTAACCGAATCGAAATTGTTGAGAATGATAGTACAGGTCGTACCTTTGAAAAATTCGGACTTGGGCGACCTCGAGTCTTTTTATACCTATAGAAACTGATAACATCTCAACCTCTTACCGGATTAAAATGGTTGTAGATGATATTATTGATCGTACCTTTGAAACATTCTGACTTTTCCGACCTTGATCCTTTCTAGAACTGGCAACTAATTACATTTCAATCTCTTATCGAATCGAAATGGTTGAGAATGATCAAGCAGGTCGTACTTTTGAAAAATTCTGACTTGGCCGACCTCGAACCCTCTTCTACCTAGGAACTGATAACATTTCAAACTTTCACCGAATTAAAATGGTTGTAGATGATTTTATATATGGTACCTTTGAAACATTGTGACTTTTGCGACCTTGATCATTTCTAGAACTGGCACCGAATTACATTTCAATCTCTTACCGAATCGAAATGGTTGAGAATGATAGAACAGGTCGTACTTTTGAAAAATTCTGACTTGGGCGACCTCGAACCTTTTTCCAGCTAGAAACTGAAAACATGTCAACCTCTTACCCAATTAGAATGGTTGCAGATGACATTAGAAATCGTGCCATTCGGATATTCGGACTCAGGCGAACTTGAACCTTATTGTAACTAGTACATAATGACAATAATTCATCCTTTCAGCGAATTGAAATGATTATAAATGATACTGGAGGTCGTACCTTTTCCAAACTCCAACTGAGACTACTTTAATTAATCTTTTTTGAAGCTAGGCACCTAATGACATTTCAACTTCTCATTGCAAAGGCCGTACCCATAAACAATTTCGATTTAAGCGACCTCAAACCTCTTTGGTAGCTAGAACTCAATGTCATTTTCCCTTCTCACTAAATTAGAATGGTTGTGACTGCTACTACAAGTCGTATCCAGGAAAAATATGCCTTATGTGACCTCGAACTTTTTGAGTAGCACGAACTTAATGTCATTTTGAACACTAACCGAATTGAAATGGTTGCAGATGATACTATTGGTCGTACCTTTGGAAAACTTTGACTTTGCCGACCACGAATCTTTTTGTAGCTAGTACATGATGTGTACCTTTGAAAACGTTTGATTAAGACAATCATCAACATTTTATAACCGGTGCAGATATTACAAGAAAATCGCAAGCATCGATGAAATCTTGAAGTTCTCACGGCATTAAAATGGTTGTGTTGGTGAAGGTCCTACTGATTGCACTATAGTATATTATTTAACGAGCACGGAATGATAGTGAGCCGTAGGAGAATGCTACAATCATTCGGGTGGGCTGTAACAGATAACAGCGACATTTATGATTTCTTCGTCTTGTAGTCATCGCAAGCACAGATTTTCATTTCGAGCTCTAAACCGAATTAGAATGGCTGTAGAAGATATTCTAGATCGTACCTTTGAAACATTCTGACTTAGGCGACCTTGATCCTTTCTACAGCTGGCAGCTAATAACACTTCAATCTCTAACCGAATAGAAATTGTTGAAAATGATAGTACAGCTCGTACTTTTGAAAAATTCGGACTTGGGCGACCTCGAATCTTTTTTTACCTATAGCAACTGATACCATTTCAACCTTTAACCGAATTAAAATGGTTGTAGATTATAGATCATACCTTTGAAACATTCTGACTTAGGCGACCTTGATCCTAACTAGAGCTGACACCTAATTACATTTCAATCTCTTGCCGAATCGAAATGTTTGAGAAAGAAAAAAACCGGTCGTACTTTTAAAAAATTCTAACTTCGGCGACCTCGAACTTTTTTCTACCCAGAAACTGATAACATTTCAACCCTTTACCGAATTAGAATGGTTGTAGATATTATAGGTCGTACATTTGAAACGTTCTGACTCATGCGGTCTTGATCACATTTAGAGCTGGCACCAAATTACATTTCAATCTCTTACCGATTCGAAATGGTTGAGAATGATAGTACAAGTCGTACTATTGAAAAATTGAAGAATATAGTGAAACCTTAGCCGTGGCACTTGATATCTCCGAAGCATTCGATCGAGTCTGGCTCCATAGACTTCTCGCCAAGCTTCCATCTTATTGCCTACTCAGCTATGTTCTCTGCTAGCTAGTTTTCTCTCAAACAGGTCTCTCCATGTAGTGGTCGACAGAGTTTCATTTGACTCTATCATCATGAATGCTGGTGTTCCGCAAGGATCAATTATAGCACCAACACTATTTCTACTCCATATCAACGATTTGTTGGAAGCTACTTCAAGTCCAGTACACAGCTTCGCGGATGATAGTACCCTCCATACCGCCTTCTCTTCCAGAGCTCCAATACCAGCCAGGCAAATCAGAAACGAACGAGGGAGAAATGTTGACAACATGAATATGGACTTGGCAACAATCCTCGAATGGGGATCCAATAACTTGGTAGATTTCAATGCAAACGAAACACAAGCGTGCCTTTTCTCGAGAAAAGCCGATCTCACTGTGCCCAACATAAGCTTGTCAGGAGTAATCATACCTTTGAAGACATCCATTTCGATGCTTGGTATTACTATCAACAATAAACTTTTTTGGGAATATCACGTGAGATCAATTGCGAAAAGTAAATCCCAAAAACTCTGTTATCTGTTTCGGGCCAGGAGCTATTTCACTTCCAGTCAGCTGCCTATGATCTATAAGGCACAGATCCGACCTGTCCTGGAAGACAGGTCCCGTATTTGGAGTGCAGCACCCAAACATACCCTGAAACTGTTGGATTCTGTCCAAAAAAGGGCAATTCGTCTCGTGGGTGATGCCTCGCTCAAAAATCCACTCACTTCTCTTAACACCGTAGAAAAGTTGTCGATCTGGCCCTATTTCATAGATATTTTCATGGACAATGATCTTCTGAAATATCAACAATTGTTCCTCTTTTGGCAGTCCCCGCAAGATTAACCAGTCGAGTTGAGGCTTCACACCCCTTCGTGGTCACTTTGGAGACAAGCAGAACATCTCTTTCCAAAGACTCGTTCATCCAACGAACAGCGATGCACTGGAACACATTGCCAAGGGAGGTGTTACCCGAGGCATATAACCTCCAGAAATTTAAGAAGGACACCAATTCCTACCTTAATTCCCTTAGTTATCACGATGTTCTCTGAACATTTCAAGATATCCCTTTTCGTGGGAGCCAGAACATAAAAAAAAATCTGCCGAAATCGGAAAAAAATGAGGTATGCGTCCCAACCCAAATAACCAACCATAACAATGTTTGTTCTTAATGACGTCTAGCTCCTAGGAAATAAAGTTCAACTTCAGCTCCTTGGAACTAAATATGTTGCCTAGCAACATACCTATGTTTGTGTTAGTGATAATAACGTCAATTCAAGAGCCAATTTTGGTATTAAAATGGCCGACATTTGTGTCGGTTGCAGAAAATAGTAGATTGTTTTATTAGGATCAAAAGTGACACTTTGTTTGACAAGCGAATTTTGCATTTGCGAGGCGGCGCGTTTAGCGAAGCCGAGCGAAAGCAAAATTTGCGAGTCGAACAAAGTCACTTTTGATCCGAATGAAACATGCTATTTTTTCTGCAACCGAAACAATTAACTCAAATGAACATGTGAAGTAACCACCAATGCCGTGCCATATGTATGCAATGCAACAAATATTGACAAATAATCCGTGTGGTATAAGAATATTCTACCTGCATTAACAGCAGGTTAGGTTTTCAAGGATGTTCGAATTGTAGTTTCAATATAAATACAACCACATAGTGACATATTTGTGTATGGACCAGGTGCTCTTATGGCAAATACCGCGCCAGTGCCAGCTATAGGAACAAGACGTGGAAAATGTTAGGTTATTGAGCATATCAACAATGATAATAGTGATTATTTATTACTCTCCACACTACACTGTGTTTGATTTGATAATCAAATGAAGCTAAACAAATTCGTTGTTTGAGACAAAAAAACTATTGCTTGCCGTGATTATTCAAAAACAAGTTATCCATCCCGAGAATAACGAATGAAATACAGATCAAGCAAGTATTTGAATCTTGAAGGCTTCCCTGATCAAAACAGAAATACTTAACTGAGATGTTCATAATTCCAATACTAAACTATAATAAGGTGTATTTATATCTCCAGCATGGGTATGAAATGCCAAATATGCTGAAATCGGGAACAAATCAGGTATGCGTCTCAACCCAAATAACCCACCGTCACAATGTTGTTTATTCTTGATGACGTCCAGTACATCCTTTTTAGTTCCTAGGAGCTAAAGTTCAACTTTAGCTGCTAGGAACTAAAATTCAACTTTAGCTCCTAGGAACTAAATATGTTGCCTAGCAACATACCTATTTTTGTGTCAGTAAGAGAAACGTCAATTCAAGAGCTAACTTTGATATCAAAATGGCCGACTCTTGTGTCGGTTGCAGAAAAAAATACATCCTCACCGAATTCGAATGGTTATAGTTGGCACCGGCCGTCGTGGTGCCGCCTCCAGCATACGAGTTCTGCGCAGGCGACACCGCTTGCTGCGCGTGCTGCTGCATCTGCTGCTGCTGCGCCTGCGCCGCCGCCGAGTACCGCTGCTGGTAGTAGGCGGCTGCCGCAGCAGCGGGGGCAGCTGTGGGCGGCTGGTGGCCGCCTCCCAGGCCGCCCCATTGGCCGCGGTACACGCCCGCCGTCTGGTGTTGGGTGGCCATCGACAGCGACACACCTACAATGATTAGAATAATACACTACACTGTTTTACCACTAACCAAACCGGTTTTTTAAAACGCCTCAAAACGTGTTTCGCTAGCTATGTTAGCATCTTCAGGAGAGGATTATAACTAAATATACTATATTAGTGTGCTGCTTATATGCTAGGTATATGTTCACCCAACCGTGAAAAATACTAACCGCAAAGTTAATGCTTGTTATGGTTGAGTTCACATGTTAATCTTAATTTTTATACTACTAAACTATACAGGGTGTTTAAAAAAAACCTGACCCCTAACTAGGGTAGGTAGAACACTGCAAAACAAGTTGGGTTTACTTAGTAAGAAAATTTCGTAACGGCATCCATTATCAAGATACAAGGTGTTGAAAAAATATTTTTTTTACACATTTTTCAAGATTTTGACGAAACTACTGGCAACATTGTGATGAAATTTTGTATGGATGTTTCTTGGAATCTGACACATCGCATGCATTCGTTTTTATATCTGACTCTAATAGAGGGCACTAGTTACACGGTTCGTACCAAGTAGTTTTGAACATAACTTTTTTGAGGTTAGATTTTTCGATCCAAATTTGATGTGAACTTAGACATCATTCAATTTAAAACCAAAAAGGTACTATTGGTAAAACTCGATACTGTGTACCGTTTTCAGAATATTTCGATTTGAAAATGATGAAGTGATAACTGTTGCTGGTATAAAGCTATGTATTATAGTGAGTATTATGAAAAATTATCACCTATTTATTGAAAACCGAAAACAAGAATACATTTCTGATGCTAAACTTATTGATTTAACAATGAATCACAAGAATAACATGGAAACAGATTTGACTAAGAACACGGATTACACTGTTTTGTTGTATCTTGAGCAGAAAGTTTATGCTACATAGGTAAATTCACGTCAAGAGTTGTAAGACATAATTGTACATCACTCAAATGACCTAACAGCTGATTCTCAACTGTTTAAAAGAATAATACATTCTCAAGAAAAGAAATTAGAATCGTGTATTCGTCGAAACGTAGGACATTTTGAACACTTACACTAACTGATTCAATATTTCATGTTTCTAGTCAAATATCTCTTAATTTACAACTTATGACTCTTTGTTCCATCAATAACTCCAGTGCAAGAATGATTTTTATTGTTTTTGAATCTGAATAAATAGGTAATTGAACTCAATAATATTCATTTTATACCAGCATCAGCTATTGCTCCATTATTTTCAAATCGAAATATTCCGAAAACGGAACATTGTATCGAGTTTCACCAAGTGTAGCTTTTTGATGTAAAATTGAATGATGTTCAAGTTCATATCATATTTGGATTGAAAAATCTAACCTCAAAAAAGTTATGATCTGAACTACTCGGTACGAAACGTGTAACTCGCGCCCTCTATGAAAGTCAGATATAAAAACAAATTAATGCGATGTGTCAGATTTCAAGGAACACTCATACAAAATTTCATCACAATGTTGCCAGTAGTTTCGACATAATCGTGAAAAATGTGTACAAAAATAATTTTTTCAACACCTTGTATCTTGAAAACAGATGCCGTTACGACATTTTTTCACTGAGCAAACCCAACTTATTTTGCAGTGTTCTACCTACCCTAGCGAGGGGGTCAGGTTTTTTTGAAACACCCTGTATAGATGGCTATATGGAATAGGTCCATTCCATTATCCTTATTCATTACTCTTTTACTATTCTTAAATATCTATTCTCTAAGCTCTCATATGCGTCTAATTTTCTAATATTATTAACTTGCTTAACTAATTACAGATATACAGGGTGTTTCAGTTTTTTGTAGCAGGACTTCAACAGCTTGAAGAAGACATTTTTTCAAGATGAAAATCTCAAACAAACATATATGCGTGGGAGCTTCGTTTCCGATTTACAGGGTGTCAAAGTTTCAGATTTTTTTTGTTTATTTTGAATTTTCTCCTATAATTTTCAGAATAATTGATTGAAATTTGGAACACCTGATACACTTCAAAAACTCAATATTTGAGGCTATCGAACGTTTTTGAATACCTACAAGGTGATAGACTTTCAGGGGTCGTACCCAATTTAACCCTGTAGAACTTTTTTGCGTGTCGCCTCTGCTTTCAAAGGGACATAGATTCAGATTGTCTCTGCAATTTGGAAACTTTGCCGCTATGTAAATTTTTCGGAAACTGTATGGATATCGAGATAAATACCAAAAATAAATTACTTGTAATAAAACCGATATTTCTCAAACACACTTATTTGACATTTCTTAAACATCTACTGAAAGTCTATCACCCTGTGGGTATTCAAAAACGCTCAATAGCCTCAAATATTCAGTTTTTGGAGTGTATCAGGTGTACCAAATTTCAATCAATTTTTCCGAAAATTTTAGGAGAAAATTCAAAAAACATGAAGAAAATCTGAAACATTGACACCCTGTAAATCGAAAACGAAGCTCCCACGCATATATGCTTGTATGAGATTTCCATCTTAAAAAAATGTCTTCTTCAAGCTGTTGAAGTCCTGCTACAAAAAACTGAAACACCCTGTATATCTCTCTCAAAGGCATTCCGACTTGTGACCCCTACTCCCTAGACGCGACTCACCCCTACAAACACACACACACCCACCTGTCGCACCGCCCTTGTGGTGGTTGTTGTTCACCGCGCCTGCGCCTGCGCCGCCGCCGCCGCCTCCTCCGTAGGGGGACGGCTGGTGGTACTGGCCCGGCGAGGGTGGCACTGAGGCTGGGGAGGCGGGAACGAGGACGCCGCCACACCCGCTGTTCGTCTGCAGAAAGAAATAGAAAAGAATTTAGTATATTATATTATACAAGTTGAATAAGACACTGTTTTGTCGCACGCGACAATGAGGAAGTTTCCTATATTGGGGTTTTCATCTCACTGTGAAGTTTGGAAAAAATTAATATACAGAGTGTTTCTAAAGTACGTGTAGAAAATTCGGGACCATGGTGCAGACGTCAATTAAGAAGAAAAGTTCGTAAAAACATATGTCCGAAAGTTATCCGCTTCTGAGATACAGCGTGCCAAAGTTGAAATCTTATTCTTGTTCAAAATGATGGTGATATTGGAATGAAATTCGGTATCTAGGTGTATTTTTCAATGACAATATCAAATTTTATGTTAGTTTGTTTCTTTCGTGGTGGTGGCGCCACCTACATGTCTTTTGAGTTTTTTGAAAAGTCATAACTTTTTTGTGCGTACCTGCATGTATAACGTTTTATAGTTGAAAAATAGATTTCTAGAAAACTTTTGTGTCAAAAATATATTCCTGGTAGAGGTCGCTGCGAGCAACTGTTTTCGAATTATTGGGAATTGAAATAATCAATGCAAGTTACTCAAGTTAGAATTCAAAACTGATTCATTAAGTAAGGGAAATTGATTTTCTTTGATTTCATTGAAAAATAGGAATCGGGTGTTATTACAATAGGCTTATATCACAAAAAAAAAATTATTTCATAATTCGATAGAGCTCACCCAACCTAGCTCACCACCGCAAACCGTTTCTTGCTGTGAGCTCCCTACGTTTTAAAAAAAATTATTGAAATCCCCGATTTTTCGGACCTCTGAAAACGAGGCGATGATGTGACGTCAAAACCCAAATACCGAAACAAGACTATTCCAGACAGATATGAATGATACATGATTTCTGACAGAGTGAATTAGCGTGAGATCACAGTTGAAAGAATTAATATATTAGTTGCCTCAGTCTCCGTCGGGCTTTTGTCATTTTCTTTTAACTATGACGAGATGAGGTTTCTACGTCATAAGAGAGGGTCCGTTTTCAGATGGTACTATTATTTATGTCCAAAAATAAAACATTCCAGTTAATTTTTCGATCGAATTATGTCGTCAATCATTATTTATTTATGAAAGGATCATTATAAACATGGTTTGAGTTAAAAGTTCTACTAAGGTGTACACGCCCATTTGATACTAATAATGATAACAGTAATTAAGACCAAATTGATACCAAAACAATTAGTTGAGAAAGCTTGAATCACAAGTACAAAAGACAACAAACTTCACAGTCACAAGAACGGATTGAAATAAGATGACAAATACTCACTCGATTGTTATTTTTTCAAATTGGAAGTCCAAAAAGAATAAAGAATCATATTTTGCCTACATTCCAATGTTGAATGTAGGAGAATATCGAATGATAGAAGAAAAATGCACTGGCGTATCTTTTCTGATATTCATTAGAGGCGACATGGAAATAATTCAAATGCATCGATTACTTCGAATCCCAATAACTCGAAAACAGTTGCTCGCAGCAAACCTCTACCAGGAATATATTTTTTACACAAAAGTGCTCTAGAAAACTATTTTTCTACTATGAAACGGTATACAGGTGCGCCCAAAAAAGTTATAACATTTTTGAAGACTCAAAAGACATGTAGGTGGCGCCACCCAAAGAGAAAAAACTAACATAAAATTCGATATTGTCATTGAAAATTACCCCTAGATACAAAATTTCATTCTGATATCACAATTATCTCGGAATTTTTTAACAAAAAACAATAATAAGAATTCAACTTTGACACTCTGTATCTCAGAAACGAATAACATTCGGACATATATTTATACGAATTTTTCTTCTTATTTTGACGTCAGCAACATGCTCCTGAATTTTCTACACCTACTTAAGAAACACCCTGTATGTATACGTATTTTTTCTTTTTTTCGTAAGATCAAATTTCACTTCAGAAAAAAATAAATAAAAGTGGAAATTGGCTCTTCCACCATATTCATATGACTTAGTTTCTGAAAATCCACATTCACACAGAGTTGAAATACGATTTCCGGTGCCAGTACGACGTTGCCGACATCATAAATATGTCTAGATTTCCGGAAATTGTTCTTTGAATGCATGATAACTATATCATAACAGCAATTGGATATAATAGGCTCTTCAATCCTACTTTGTCAAGTATTACGAATAATTCCCATAAATCGCTCATTGGCTGAATGAAGTTGCGATTACTGATAAAGATAAATTATGATATTTTGCAATAGTATCTATAATTTTTCACTATCGTTATATTACAAGATGTTATTCATAACTTGTCAGTGATTTTTTTGCTAATGAATTCGTTCCTTAATAAAACGAATCTATTCTCTAGGAAAGTTGCAGATTATATCTTGCAACAGCGCCTAATACTTCGAGTCCGTCCACACCACTCAAAATACTGACAGGCACAACAAGAGGAAGGAGCCATGGGTGCCGGCTTCATTCTGTTCTGACCGATACCAGTAAATTAGGAAGGATAGTATCATTGAATGTAGCGGATAGTTTTTCATTGATTCAATGATATTTTCGTTTAGGATCGAGCTCTATTCGAGATATTTCAATGCATAAATAACAAAACCATAACCTGTCAGAATGAAGCCAACTACCCTCTGCACTCCTGCTTCGAGTACATTTGTGGTTATTACGTTACGTTCGAAATGAGCTCTGAAATTGACCGATTTTGAGCAACGCATTGACTTTGACGGACTTCAACAGGCATCAGGAGAAACATTGTATATTGTATCTAGGTGAATTGTGTTAAATCTTCATATTTTGAGCTCAGGATTGTTTTACTAAAATATTTTCAATTGGTGATGAAACACCCTCGGAAATACCCTGTATTCCTATACAGTGTCATTCACAAAGTCGACATCATAATATGGGAGAAACATTTAATAATAATTTATTTCGGAATTCGACTTGGGCGTCAAGTTTTGCTTTAAAAAATATTAAAATTGGACTGACCACTCGGTGGCGGTCACGTGACTTAAAAGCAAAACTCAATGCCCAAAGTCAAATTTCAAAATAAATATTTATTGAAAGTATTTCCCATATGATGCCAACTTTAGGAATGACACTGTATAGAATGCACTTCATTGTTTTACGATATTTTTTCATTCTCACCATACTTTGCTTATCTTGAAAGGATAAGATAGACTTTTTTTTTATTTACGCACCTCACATACTTGAGTTTTTGTTGAGTGAATGAAAGTGATCTGTATTGTTCCAAGTCTTTATGGAACTATACGAATCATTTCATAATTTCATTCAATACCAAGAAGTACTCTAAATATACAGAGATAAAGTTTCATTTAATCTAATCTTAAATTACCTTAACTGAGTTAACGACATATAAATCAATTGGTTTGAAATAATCTTTTGTAGCTGGAAGTAAAACTGGTTGTCACATATTTTGTCGGAAATATTCGGCGATTGTTACCTAACAATTTCGCGAGAATCACAGAAAAAAAATTGCTTGAAACAACAAACTGTTTGTGAATTCAAAACAATCTGAGTGTCATAATAGATCCACGACAAAATATTTTGTTACAGTAACAAATTTTTTTGTCATATTTCAATTAAAAACTCATTCGATGTAACTGATTATTGATTCAAATCTACAGTAAGAATTGGTTGAATGTAGAATCGGAGCAGAGCGGAGCGAGTGTTTGATAAACGAGTGTCTAGAAGAGTTTATAAACGCGTTGCATACTATGCTTTTTCTACGAACTCCGAAAATTACATTGACATACCTGCTATTCCTGCTAACCTACAAAATAATTCGAAAGGAATGGGAATTGAGAATATAATACATGCAACTGCATGCAACCAGCGAGACACGTATAAGTGATATTGGTTGTAGATGTGTCCAGTCCTTTGCTTACTAACCTTTGTTTCACGTTTATTGTCATGCTTAGCGCAGAAAAAATAAATTGTTCTCAAAGATGGATGCTTCATTTTAACACTTCTTGGAGATATGCAATTGCCAGAACATTCTCGTCGATTTCACTTTCGTCTACATTTCGCATATATTTTAAATGAAGAATTCTGATACAAACGAATATTGTTTGAATAATTCTGATACAAAATTTGAAAATGACAGTTGACAGTTAATACAATTGACAGACCAGACATGTCTCAAATTACTGAAGCTGTGTTTAATGAACTGTGTTGCCATGGTAATGTGTTTAAGAAATCGTGTTGCCATGGTAACGTGTTTAATATTTTGAATAAATCACAGATCGTCAATCCGTGATTAATAGATCATTTAGCGTGGTACATATCCGTACGCTGAATGCCATTTTAGTTATGTGAGTAGAAAAAGACTATTTTGTTACTATAATACAATAATTGTTCTAATGAACACATTCTGTTGATTGAAATGATCATCTAATTTCATTCAACAAAATGATTTTTCATGCAATGAAAAATTTCATGCGATCAACAAAGATGTATTCAGAATTGACAAAATATTTTGTTGACTAATATTGATGCAAGCGTCAATAGAATATCATTATATAAATGGATGTTCTGAGTATATGTATAGTCGTATTCAGAAATCATGTCACGGTTGGACGGTGTCAGCGCTCTTGATCAGACGATTTGCCCCAAAATGTCACTGCGTTTAAAGAATTTCCCTACCAGAGCCTAAAAGAAAAATTCACCAGCTTGTCAGTGACAATTGAGAAGTGTCAAGACAAATACGAATTTGCTATCCAAAAAATCCATATTTTATGTTGAAACCGGGAGCAGATTCGTTCTCGAAACGTCCAAAGATCAGTGAAAATTGACATTTTTTTATATACCTTTATTTCTCTTCTCCAAACCTTTTTCAATACAAATTGTCACTGACAAGCTAGTACATTTTTCTAATAGGCAAAAATGGAGTTAGGCTATAATTGCTATAGGATTGGAGCCTCAAAACAGCCTCAATTTATTATCTAATCAGTATTGTGATTGAATTTGTTTTCACGACATTT